AGAAATATATGTTTTCTGGTGGTCTTTGGCGATCCCTCTGAAACCCCCTTGTGACCCCACCCAGGGGTCCCGACCCCCAAGTTGAGAAATGCTGCTCTATACTATCCCCCTGGTTCAACCTAATGCTGATGAGAAACAATAGCGATCCACAGGAACTGAAAGTTGTTAGGCAACACTGTCGAATGAGAAAGCATGACATAAGCCCCAGCCTCCTTTTGCCTTAGGAAAACATGCAAAAGATGAATTCTTTATAAATAGATCTTAGCCTGTTTCTCAGCCACAAAAATCGAAGAATGTCTTGCTTTCTTTATCACATCCAAAGAAAAAATGGAAGCAGGCATGAGGGAATCAGAGGTCTTCCATTATTAGAAATCCTACTAAAGGTGAGGTTAGCAGAGTATTGTGAGTAATGGCGATAGAAGATGCAGATACCAGAAATAGGACTCTATTTCCATGTACATGTGCACATGCCCTATTTAGAAGAAAATAAACTTTGCGTGTAAAATGTGCTTTGATGAATCAATGCAAGTGGCAAAGTGGCTGAAAAAGCTACACTCCTTGTTAATCTATAATTAGCATGGAGGAAACAGTTGGTATGGTGCCATGAAGTGGATTTAAGAATAGGGTTAATTTGATGCTATCATCCTGATGTGTTCTTATGGGTGCTAATGCATTCTTGATAACTCAGTAATGCATTCTCTGGATTTTTTTGCTGCTAGGCGTAGTTCTGCCCTGAGGCACCTTTGAGAAGTCATACTCTTTCAGCCTTAGAGGCTGGCATTAACAAATCTTCTCTAAGTAAATCTTGGCAAGAGAACCCTAGGAAATTTTAGGTCTCAGATGATTCTGAGCTGGCAACTCTAGCACTTACATACCAATATAAGGGGGTGAATGAATTGGAAGGTTACTATTAGTACAGTTTACGTATTCCTTATCTGAAGTGGTTGGGACCAGAAATGTTTCAGATTTTGGAGGGATTTGGGAATATTTCCATATACATAATGAGATAACTTGGATATCGATGCCTCCTGCCATTTCACAGATCCCTGTCTTTTACTCCAGGCTCACATCTTGTCTATTCTTTGCTTGCGTTATATATGAGACCTGAAGCTGGAGAGAGACTGCAGATCTCAGAGAGTGAGGATATCAGGAGCCGGATATTTGGAAATAAATATAGTGTTTGTACTGTACAGGATATCTCCAGGCAGCCACACACTTCTGACTTGCAAACAAACAAGGAGTGTCTCACCTACTTCCCCAAAGCTGGAAATGGGTGGCTGGTGGTAAAAAGTTTGGAATTTTGGAGCATTTTAGTTTGAATTTTCAGATTAGGGATGCTCAACCTATAGCAGCATCACTAGGATCCCTACCACCATTTTTCAGAAGACTTAGGGATGGTATGACTAGATCAGGCCCCTTCTATACTGCCATACAAAATTGAGATTATCTGCTTTGAACTAGATTATATGGCAGTGTAGATGTATATAATCCGTTTTTTTTTTGTCTGTCGGGAGTGACTTGAGAAACTGCAAGTCGTTTCTGGTGTGAGAGAACTGACCATCTGCAAAGACATTGTCCATGGGATGCCCAGATAATATACCATCCTGTAGGAGGCTTTTTTAATGTCCCCACACAAGAAGCTGGAGCTGACAGACGGGAGTTCACCTCACTCCCTGGATTCGAACCATCGAACTTTTGGTCAGCAGTTCAGTGGCACAAGGGTTTAACCCATTGTGCCACTGGGGGGGGGGGGTCGTATATAATCCAGTACAAAGCAGATAATGTAAATTATCTGCTTTGATAATCAGGATTATATGGCAGTGTAGAAGGGGCCTCAAAGCCTTTCAAACTGTGGCCCATTTACACTGCCATATAAAACCCATATTATCTGCCTTGTGAAGTGGATTATATGGCAGAGTAGACTCAGGCTCCTTCTACACTGCCATATAAAATCCAGAGTATTTGCTTTAACTGGATTATACAGCAGTGAATACTCATATAACCCAGTTCAAAGTAGATAATGGAACAATGCCAAAGCAGATAATGTGAATCATCTGCTTTGATAATCTGGATTATATAGCAGTGTAAAAGGGGCCTCATATAATCCAGTTTAAAGCAGATAATCTGAGGGCCCTTCCACACTGCCATATAATCCAGAATATCAAGACAGATAATCCACAATATCTGCTTTGAACTGGGTTATCTGAGAGCCCTTCCACACAGCTATATAACCCACAATATCAAGGCAGAAAATTTATTTATTTATTTTTATTTATTTACTGCATTTGTTGACCGCCGTTCTCAGCCCTAGGGCGACTCACGGCGGTGTACAACATATAAAAACAGTTTACAATAAGGCAATATCACAACAGAATATCAACATAACTATCAATAATACAATTACACTAAATCATCCGCGCCGTCTCATCGTAGAATCATAAACCAATCTCGTTATCCATATTCCGTTCCAATCATCATTGCCAATTGTTGTAGCACTTAGTCAAACGCCTTCTCAAATAACCATGTCTTTAGGCTCTTGCGGAATGACATAAAGGAGGGCGCCTGTCTGATGTCTACAGGGAGGGTGTTCCACAGCCGGGGGGCCACCACCGAGAAGGCCCTATCCCTCGTCCCCGCCAGACGTGCCTGTGAGGCAGGCGGGATCGAGAGAAGGGCCTCCCCAGACGATCTCAAGGTCCTCGTGGGCTCATAGGCCGAGATGCGGTCAGAAAGGTATTTTGGGCCGGAACCGTTTAGGGCTTTGTAGGCCAGCACCAGCACCTTGAATTGGGCCCGGTAGCAGATCGGCAGCCAGTGGAGCTGGAACAACAAGGGCGTTGTGTGCTCCCTGCATCCCGCTCCTGTTAGTAACATGGCTGCCGCGCGCTGGACTAGCTGAAGCTTCCGGGCCGTCTTCAAGGGCAGCCCCACGTAGAGAGCGTTGCAGTAGTCAAGGCGGGATGTGACCAGAGCGTGTACTACCATGGCCAAGTCAGACTTCCCGAGGTACGGGCGCAGAAAATCCCACAATATCTGCTTTGAACTGGGTTATCTGAGTCCACACTCATATAATGTGGGATTTTCTGCCTTGATATTTGTGACAGAATGGAAATCACGCATAGCTCAAGTCTTTACCAATCTGCACACTGTCTTGCTAGAGAAAAGATATGCCACACAGATTATCAAGAATGGTGTTTACTCTTTGTTATGCAGAGCAACATATATACAGTCATGTGAACAGTTGCATTGACTCACACAATGTCCTTTGAGAGTGATTCAAATGGTCCTTAGGTGTCCATGTGAATGATCATTTTCCAGCAGCCCCAGAAGCAGAAATGCTAGCTGTCTTGGTAAACTCCTGCACAGAAAAACCTAAACATGTAACTGTTGCCAAAACTCCCAGACTCAGCTAGCTTCTCAGGTGTCGCCCAACCAATCAGCGTCCTGCTTTGCATTTTTCAGTTAATACACTCACCAACTGATTTTTACATGCTCCAACAATATTCTGGGATATAGGGCCATATGGAAGGGCCCTGAGTCCATACTGCTATATATCCCAGTTCAAAGCAGATACTGTGGGTTATTCTGCTTTCATATTCTGGGTTCTATGGCTGCGTGAAAGGGCCCTGAGTCCACACTGCCATATATCCCAGTTTAAAGCAGATACTGTGGGTTATACTGCCTTTATATTCTGGATTATATGGCTGTGTGGAAGGGCCCTGAGTCCCCACTGCCATATATTCCAGTTCAAAGCAGATACTGTGGGTTATTCTGCCTTGATATTCTGGGTTATATGGCTGTGTGAAAGGGCCCTGAGTCCACACTGCCATATATTCCAGTTCAAAGCAGATACTGTGGGCTATTCTGCCTTGATATTCTGGGTTATATGGCTGTGTGGAAGGGCCCTGAGTCCCCACTGCCATATATTCCAGTTCAAAGCAGATACTGTGGACTATTCTGCCTTGATATTCTGGGTTATATGGCTGTGTGAAAGGGCCCTGAGTCCCCACTGCCATATATCCCAGTTCAAAGCCGATACTGTAGGTTATTCTGCCTTGATATTATGGGATATAGGGCTGTGTGAAAGGGCCCTGAGTCCCCACTGCCATATATCCCAGTTCAAAGCCAATACTGTGGGTTATTTTGCCTTGATATTCTGGGTTATATGGCTGTGTGAAAGGGCCCTGAGTCCACACTGCCGTATAACCCAGTTCAACGCAGATAATGTGGGATTTATACAGTTGTGTGGAAGGGGCCAGAATTATCTGTTTTGATAATCTGGGTTATATGGCAGTGGATCCATCCTGTGTGTCAAAATATGTTAGTGTTTTTTTGTTTTGTTCTTGGTGTGTCATATGAATGTAATGAGAAATGACAAAAATCTTGAAAATGTATACTATTACTTTACAAATCATATATGATACTTTTCTTTTTCCTCCCCACCCTGACAATTATATTTATCTATTTCCTCTAGAGCAAACAATGAAGGCATTTGATGCCTTGTCCACCTATTCACAGCCCACAGGTTTTTCCCCTGCAGATTCCAGTTATTCTGGTTCATTATGATTCAAAACTCACACCAACAACCTTGACATCCAAGTCAAAGCGAGACATGAGGCGCACAGCCTGCTCTGAGTGGGTCATTCGCCTTGAGAGTGAAATGCTCATTCAACTCTAACAGGGTGAAATCAAACAAAGAGCAGGAAAAACAAAAGCTGGAGTCGGTACCCAGCCCTTCCGTGCCTCCTCTCCGCCGCCCGAAGGTGAAACTTCAGTGATCAGACGTGTTTGCCTGGTTTCAGGTGGGAGCCCAGGTGAGCCGAATGGGCCTATGGGTAATGTAGTTCAGTCTTTTCCAGGTGGCGGATTCCACTGGGGTTGTGCAACCGCGGCAGGACTCCACGTCCCACAAGGCATTGCTTGCCACCCACAAGCAGAAGGCGTGGGGCTGCCAATTAGGGTTGCTAAGCTGACCTGTCCGCATTTTTGGAAAGCTGCATGGAACCACCAAGAAGGCATCCACGCGGGGAGATCTGGAAAGAAATGGCTTAGTGGAAGTTGGCTGTCCCTGATCGAGGAGAAGGAAAAGGTATGTCTTCCTTTGAAGTATGCTTCCAACTTTTGAAGACTTTAAAAGTGTATTGTCGAAGACTTTCATGGCCGGAAGCACTGGGTTGTTGTGAACTTTCCAGGCTGTATGGCCATGTTTCAGAAGCATTCTCTCCTGACGTTTCGCCTGCATCTATGGCGCGCATCCTCAGAGGTTGTGAGGCGTGTGGGAAACTTTGTTTGTATATCTATGAGAGAAAGAACTCTTATCTGTTTGAGGTAGGTTTGTTTCAATTGGTCACCTTGATTAGCATTTAATGGCCTAGCAGTTTCAAGGTTTGGCTTCTTACTGCCTGGGGGGATCCTTTGTTGCGAGGTAGAATCATAGAATCATAGAGTTGGAAGAGACCTCATGGGCCATCCAGTCCAACCCCTGCCAAGAAGCAGGAATATTGCATTCAAATCACCCCTGACAGATGGCCATCCAGCCTCTGTTTAAAAGCTTCTAAAGAAGGACCCTCCACCACACTCCGGGGCAGTGAGTTCCACTGCTGAACGGCTCTCACAGTCAGGAAGTTCTTCCTCGTGTTCAGATAGTGATTAATTAGCCCTGATTGATTATTGTCTGAACTTTCCCCGTTTGTGAGTGTTGTTCTTTATTTACTGTTATGACTTTTGAGTTCTTAAATACAGGTAGCCAAATGTATTTATTTCCAATATTTATACCCTTCTCACCCCCGAGGGGAGACTCAGGACGCCCCCAAAAACACCATATGGTGTCATCATAATAAATAACCAACAATACATTAAAATATTAAAACAGTAATTAAAACAATTGATTAACACATGCCTAAAATCCAGTCCCGGTCAAATCATTGCCATAAGTGTTAAAATCTTCTTTTACTTGTTGCTCACTAATCGAATGCTTGATCCCAAAGCCAGGTCTTGATTTTTCTTCTAAAAGACAGGAGGGAGGTGGCCATTCTAATATCTATGGGGAGAGCATTTCACAGGAGGGGGGCCACTGATGAGAAGGCCATGTTGCTCGTCCCCACCAATCGTGTTTGTGATGTCGGTAGGGTTGAAAGCAGGACCTCTCTCCTCTTCATTTTCATGGTTTCTTTTTTTCTGTTGAATTCACACCTATCTCAAACAGACAAGAGTTCTTTCTCCCACCCTAGACATTATTCCACAGATATATAAACCCTATTTTCCTAGTTTCCAACAGACCTCACAATCTTTGAGCATACCTGCCATAGATGTGGGCAAAACATCAGGAGAGAATGCTTCTGGAACATGGCCACACAGCCCAGAAAACTCACAACAACCCACTTTAAAAGTGGGTGAGAGAGGCTGGGAACGGACATCCCTCTTCAAAAATGGTGAATTGTAATTTGAGATGCAAGGTTGGCTTTGGAAAAACCTAGATTCCAGCTTTCCCTCTGATGCAGGTTTCTTCTTGGAATAGCTATTCATCATGCAGGGTAACAAGATCGAAGTTGGAATTGTATTGATTTCTGCTTGAAAAATGAAGTCTCCTTTTTCGCATGGTCCAGATAATTATTTTTGAAAGTTTTGAAAGCTTAACCAAAAGTTTCTGAATAAGAAGTGCTGCATACTCACAAATAAGGAATTATAGTCCTGATTCTGTAGGATCCCTTTCCACCTTCATCATGCTTATAAACAGAATTCTTATACATATGTGTGTATATGTGTGTGTTTATGGATCTGCATCTACAAACATACATGCATACACACACGCAATGTGAATGTGTTTATAGATCTTGCATGTACAAACATACATGCATCACATGCACACAATGTGTGCATTATGTGTGTTTATAGATCCTGCATATGCAAACATACATGCACGCACGCGCACACACAGACACACAGGATCTATATGTTTTAATGCTTTTAGCTGCTAATTTAATTATGTCGTAATTGTGTTGTTGAAGGCTTTCATGGCTGGAATCGCTGGGTTGCTGTGATTTTTCCAGGCTGTATGGCCATGTTCCAGAAGAATTCTCTCCTGACATTTCACCCACATCTATGGCAGGCATCCTCAGAGGTTGGGGGGGGGTCTGTTGGAAACTAGGCAAGTGAGGTTTATATATCTGTGGAATGCCAAAGGTGGGAGAAAGAACTCTTGCCTGTTTGAGGCAGATGTGAATGTTGCAATTGGCTACCTTGATTAGCATTTAATAACCTTGCAGCTTCAAGCCTGGCTGCTTCTCACCTGGGGGAATCCTTTGTTCGAAGATGTTAGCTGGCCCTGATAGTTTACTGTTTTCTCTTGCTTTCTGAGTGTTCTTCTTTATTTACTCTCCTGATTTTAGAGTTTTTTAAATAGTGATAGCCAGATTTTGTTCATTTTCATGGTTTCCTCCTTTCTATTGAAATGGTTCACATGCTGGACCACTCTAACAGCCACCATGTCAGAGTACACAGAGAAACCATTGGAACCACAACCATGTGGACAATTTCATTAAAATAAAATTGCCTCTTTTATTGGAAACCACCCTGAGTCTCCCACGGCAGATAGGGCAGGTTACAAATAAAGTGTTGTTGTTGTTATATAGGAACCATAAACACACACACAAAAAGGATTTCTCAAGGACAGTTCACGAAAAGTTTAACATTTCTTTAAGCTACTGTTTTAGGCTATTGTAGTGCCCTTGACCAATTAAGAGACCCTTTCACACTACAAAATTATAGTGCTATTATTCCAATTTAATTGCCACCATTCCATCCAATGGAACCCTGGAATTTGCAGCTTGGGGAACACTGCAGTTGGGTCTATCATTTGGAATTTAGTTGAAGAACCTTAGTGCCTTACCAAACTATAAATCCCAGGATTCATTAGGATGCTATCATGGCAGGTAAAGAGAAATCACAGAACTATGATTTTGTAGTATGAAAGCACCACAGGAAGGTTTGAACAGTCAGTAGTCTTTCCAGACGTAAGGGAGTAATTTCTTAGGTAAATCTTCAAATATGATAAGAGCCTTATTCTAAAAAAGCATAAAGTAGTATATTGAATGTGTGCCCCAAGAATTTCATAGACCTGTTTTAGGTAAGGAATATGTTCATATTAAACTTATTTTAGGACTGAGGTTGAAAGATCATATCTATTATATATACTACAACGTATTATATAGAACAATATATTATATAATACTAATAGTATAATATACTGGTGGTGTAATATATATATATATATACTTTGGTATAATAATATAGTACAATATATTAATAATATATAATATTAATATTGTGCTATTCTAATAGTGTTATATATTTTATATACATATGATATTGATAATATAATATAAAACAATACAAAACTAATAATAATACAATATAATAGACAATAATGTTGTAATATAGTAATACTATGGGGCCATGGTGACGCAGCGGGCTAAACCGCTAAGCTGCAGAACTTGCTGACCGATAGGTCAGTGATTTGATTCTGTGGATGTGGTGAGCTGCTGTTAGCCCTAGCTTCTGTCAACCTAGCGGTTCGAAAACATGTAAATGTGAGTAGATCAATATGTACCGCTTGGATGGGAAAGTAATAGCACTCCATGTAGTCATGCCAGCCACATGACCTAGGAGGCATCTATGGACAATGCCGGCTCTTCAGCTTAGAAATGGTGATGAGCACCATCCCCTAGAGTTGGACTTGACTAGACTTAATGTTAAGGAGAAACCTTTACCTTCACCTATAATAATACTGTTATATTAAATAGAATTACTACTGATAATATATAATAATATACAATTATATACTGTTTTTAATTGTATATTTGTATATTTTAGTTGTAATGTTTTGGATTGTGAGCCATATGGAGAGATAAAATGGGATATAAATAAATAAATAAAAATCTGGGTTCAAATCCATACCTGTCCATGAAAAAGGGGTGGTGGTGGGGAGAGAAAATATAGCTGAACCGTTAATACATTATCACTTTGGACTACATCCAAGAAGTGAATTTATATCTACAAAAGCTTGTGCACAAATAAAACCAGTTAGTGTTACAAATGTCACCTTGAATCTTTAAATCAGGAGAAAGTTGAGATAAAAATAAAGGAAACAAAACAAAAATAATTTCCCCTTCCTACTTCTTTTGCTGTAAGAGATTATCACAGCTGCTTCTTTAGAAATAATAATATTTGTTCATGACACTCATTGGATGATCTTGGATTACTTTCTTAATCCAGAGTTTAACCCTTCCTCATAGGATTTTTGTGAGAATAAATGTGTGGTGAGGCTGGAAAGGATGATGAAAAGTATAAAGCTGTGAAATTACAAACAAACAGCATTAGAAGATACAGAATTGTTCAAGGAAGTTAAAATGGGATACTTTGTTTCTTTAGATCAGGGGTCCTCAAACTAAGCTCCGGGGGCCGGATACGGTCTTCCAAGGTCATTTACCTGGCCCTCATTCAGGGTCAACTTAAGTCTGAAACGACTTGAAAGCAAACAGTAAGAACAACAACAATCCTCTCTCATCAGCCAAAAGCAGGCTCACGCTTCCCATTGAAATACTAATAAGTTTATATTTGTTAAAATTGTTGTTCATTTTAATTATTGTATTGTTTTAAAGTGTTTTTTGCACTACAAATAAGATGTGTGCAGTATGCATAAGAATTCATTCATGTTTTTTCAAATTATAATCCGGCCCTCCAACAGTTTGAGGGACTGTGACCTCAACCTCTGTTTAAAAAGTTTGAGGAATCCTGCTTTAGATAATGTGCTGTTTGCCTGTGGTTGCATTCTCTTAGCCATGTCTTCTTAATACAGTATTCTGTGAACTGTATAATTTTTCAAGGTAAGTATGCCCTATCCATGTTATGGAATTAGTACTCAGCCCTGGGTGACTAAGTCTTACATTTACTGTATTACTCTTTATCAACCTCTAAATGGAAATATTCAAATATGCATCTCACTCATTTCCATACCTTTCACTGGATACTAGCGAGTCTATTGCTCTCATCACACTAGACAATTGTAGTTGGAGAATTCTGAACTGTTCT